AAGGCTCTGCAGGGCTGGGAAAGGCTCTGCAGGGCTGGGAAAGGCTCCCCCCCTGCCCTGAGGGCTGGGGAGAGTCCAGGAGCAGCACCCTGCCCCAGGTCACTGCCCCTGCCCTGGGCTCAGAACCTACAGCTGGGATTCAGGTCCAGGACACAGATCAGGATCAACACCCAGGGAGGCTCCTTGGATTCCATTCACAGTGGGGTCTCCTTCAGACCTTGGACACAGCCCAGTTTACTGATAAATAATAACAGTCTGTTCACTTTTTCATTAAAGTCTTTAATAGATGTGCAAGAATATAAATGATCTCAGCTGTTATGGATTAGTATACCATCTTCTGCACAATTAAAACTGGTCAGCAAAGATCCCAACTAATTAATTATACAAAACTACAAGAACATATTTACTGTTTTACAATCATTAAATTAGCTAGAATTTCATTTACTATTTCAAATAAGACAACTATATATCATTACCAGATCCATTTGTAATATATTAGGATTTTTTTTTCCAAACCACACATTTAATTACATCCTTCATTTTCTTTTATTTATAAAACAAGTACTTTATATAAAAAATTTCCCCTTCATCATGAACAGAACATTATTCAAACACTTGCACGTGAGCAACCAAACTTGTACCCAGCAAACTATTTGGCAACACAGCAACATTGTAAATGCCTGTAAATTCTTAAATAAAAATCAAGTAGTCTTTACAATGTTTGTTTAGCAAAATGTGTCTTCCTGTTCTTCCTTCCCTCCCTCCCAAAAATGTTCTGAAACCTAGAAAAAAAGGTTAAAAAAAACCCCCAACCCACATTTCTTAATATTTCCAGTTTCAAGGTCCATGCCCTGGCATGTCAAAGGACAGCTTAACCTGCCCCATTTGCACTCATGAGCTGCCTGCAGTCACTCTGATCACTCCTGATCACCTCTGAAAACACTGAAAGAAAAGTTATTCAGGGTAAATAAAATAAAAGAGGGAGAAGGGGAAAAGGGAGTAATTAAAAAAAAATGTCAGATTACATTTAAAAGGTAATGTTGCCTTTAGTAGATAATAAAGTATCTAAAGTCCAGGCATTTGAGGCAAATATTTCTTACTAGTTAAATTATTTAGTGCTGATTAAAATGCATCTTGCTTAATATGAAAAGCTACAGTCCAACAGAGAAACCCACAACTGAAACCTGAATGGGATTCCTAGAACTCAACAACCACAGGTCTGCATAATTGTGGCTAACGAGGGGATACAAAACAGATTGTTAATCAATGATTAATTACTTCAAACAATGTTTTGGCAGTCTGGTCCTAGCACCTCATGACTTGGATGTGAATCCCAAAGATGTCATGTTCAGCACCTAATGCAATGCTGTACCCTGAGAAAACCAGAGGTTAATGGAAACAAAGTGAGAGTGTCCCAATTTGTCCTGCGTTTGCCACCCCCTCGGGGAGGTGCCAGGCACAGGGTTTCTCCTTGGCTTTCCTGCCCACAGAGCTGTTTTTCCCCCTGGCTCTCCAGCCCCCAGGGTGTGACCCCCCAGCCAGCCCGGGGCAGCAGGGACAGCCCAGCTCCCCTGGGACCCTCCCCGAGCTCAGCCCTGCACCCTGGGGGAGCAGCAGCCCCTTGCCCTGACACCCCCCTCTCCACCTGAGGGGACTGCACAGTTGTCTTTTGCTTTTTCCAATTTCTTAGGCGTTTGTTTTTCTTCCAGTAAAGGAATTTCCTACTCTGATGCAAACTCACTCCTGGAACCATCCCATTCCCTGACACAGAATGGTTAGTTATTAATGGACACTGAGGAAAGCAGACAGTCTATAGAAGTAGGAGGTGTGCTTTATCAGGAAAAATGGATTTTATCTTATGGTTATCCTAGATTTACTACTTAAACTTTAAGGCTATGCTTTATTATGCTTTTGCTCTACTTCTGAATATCTGTATTGTTGATAAAAATACTTTTCAAAAATCTAATATACAACACAAGATCATTGTAGGTGTAGGCACTGCTTAAGTATGTTTAGAAATCCTTTGTGTGCAAATTTAGTTCTCTTCAATCTCTACGTTTTGGTAAATTTGGAGTTTTAAGACAACAGATTTGGAAACCGATACTGTAAATTCTAATTTGGAATTAATCTCACGGAGTCACTCTGCATTCCAAATTCTGTAAAAATGCAACTGAACCCCAGGCTGCAGCTGTGAACTGTATGTTTCAGATGGAAATGGTTACTTAATATTAACAAGCAGAACTTACCAGGTGTAAGAACGTTCCAAATATGCAATAATCCTTCAATGCAGTTTATCCATTTAGGCACTTAAATCTTGTACCCAAATTTATGTTTTGATTGCTAATAAAACACAACTCCTTTTAAATATATCTGAGACGTTTTAGACAGGTACCACTTGTGAAAAAAGGCATCAAAAATAAGCTTCAACACCACCGTAATATATTTTATTCTTCAGGATGTTACACTGGAATACTCTTCAACTGGGAGCTCATTGCATCGAGTGTTTGTAGAAAGTGTGTGGATCTCAAAGTTTCTCATGATCTCCTTTTGCAGGGATGCAATGAACATTTGAATCCTTCATGAAACAGGCACAAAATGCAAATTCCTTCATTAACGAAGCCAGTCGTGTCAGTGCCCAGAACTCAAGAATCACTAAGTGGCAGAGGACACCCACCAAAACCGTTCTTCTCTTCTTTGATTTTCAGCAGCACATTTGTTTTTAGATCATTGGTCTCCATCCCGAGTGAGCAGTCCCAGCCTCGCATGCATATACTGGAGTTAAGGATAAATTAATGTCAGTCACACTGTCCCCAACCAGCTCATCCCTTCATACTGTTTCTTCTGTTGACAGCAACAATGGATTAATATATTCAAATCCTTCAAATTCTGACTGATCTATTCGCTTTATGATATCTCTGAAAAACAAAGGGAAGCAGTGGTTTAGTTCGTGGGAACAGCCCGTGAGCTGTGCAAGATAGGGAGGGTACAGACAGTGCAATTTACTGTAACACAGCCGTGCCCTAATGCCAAGCACAGCCTCTCTGCAGTGACTTTGACACAATTTCTATGCTAAGTGGTTGCTGTGCAGCAGGTGGGGGAGCAGCACGTACTCATCGTCCGGGGTGAGCTGCACGGGCTCGCTGGTGAACTGCGTGTCGAAGTTGTCCAACCCGTAATCGTCCGTGATCTGCGGCTGGAACGGGGGGGTCGTCTGCTTCTTCTCCAGCTGCCAACCATTCCATGGGAAAGGAAAAATCAGGATGTGGAATAGTCACAAAATCCCCCAAGAACAAACCCAAGTGCAGTAAGTGCTACTGGAGAGCAGTGTCAGAGTGCGCAGGTAACGTGAGGAACAGGCCAGGTCACACACCCCAGCCCAGCTCGGGCTCTGTGTTTGAACACAGAAACCCCAAAGAATCCAACCATTTCATTCTCTCCTGAGCTGAGAGGCTGCACTCAGGAGTGCACTCAGCAGCCCTGAGCCATCCTGAGCACAGAGAGCAGAGTGAGGAGCCTGAGCTCCACACACAGCTCTGGTGACTAAACCAGCAAAAATGTTCCTGCTCTGTGTGTTCCCTTTCCCTGTATTTATTTTTCCATGTAGCTCAAGCTTCACAGAAGGAGTTTTTAGTCAGCATTAGACTCCTTTCCTTCTGTCTCAACTTGAAAAGAGTTGGAAAAGCTTTTAAGTCAAATTTTTTTCTTTGAAATGGAGGGGGTGAGTACAAGATTCTAATAACTAAAAAAGCTTTCCAAATGTTTTTTAATTTTCTCCTGAATGTATTTCCCAACACTTACTTGAAGTTTAGCTTTAAATTTATCTGACATGTTGATCCTCCCGAGCAGCACTCTCCTAATCATATCACAGAACAGATCACCTCAATCTTCCCAGTTTCTTTAAAAAATAGGTATTTAATATGAAAACTTTCAGAAGAAAAAACAGCTTAGAAAATATAAAAATTCAATCAGCATAAATGGTGACCAAGAAGTACCAGCTGAATTTAAGAATTTCTTAGACCAATAACCAAAATACAAATGCAACAGTCTTCTCTATTTCCCTCAAAACCCTGCAAAGCAGAACAGAAGCTGCAGTACCTGGTGTACCAAGAGGTACCAACCAAAAAAAAAATCACACTGGTCTTTTAGAGGGAACACAAAGCAAGGGATGGCTGACAAAATCACAGCCAGCCCTCCCTGCAGGAACAGTTCTGCAAACACCAGGGGTTTTAGCTCTTTCTGCAGTCAGTGTGTTCTCTGCAGAGCTGCAGCCAAGTTCAGAGCAGCAGCTTCAAAGGGAGATGAAGCTGTGCAGCTTTTTCTCCCCTGAACCTTTCATGTCCTTGCAGCACTGCTGCCTCTTCCTGTGCTCCCCAGGACTGTGGAAATACTACATCCCTCCTTTTCAACTGTTAGCTAGGTATTAAAAATGTAATGCTGACAGGGAAGTGCTCCTGACCGAGCAGTTTTATTGCTCAAGTGCCAACAAACATTAGGATGTCACTTCTGGGATGCTTTCCATGCTGAAGACAGAAGGAACACAATTACCAAGTAGCAGCAGATTAAAAAAACCCATTTCAATACAATTTTATGCTTGCAAACCCACTGAAATGCAAGTCATCTGCTCCACCAGGATCCAAGCACCTCCCTCACACCAGCACTACCAAAGAAAACCTGAGAGCAAGAGAGACCCTTCCTAACCAACCCCACTGCTCACAGGCCACATCCTGAACAAAGGGACTGGTGCTGCTCACACCTGCTCAGGTAAACCCTGAGTGACTGTAGGAGTTATGGAATTGGCAAACTCAGTCTTTTTATTTTAATGTACTACAGGCAGATCACAAACACTTCAGATGACAAACTCTCCCAGGGTTGTAACCTCAGCTGGTTTCATGGCATTTGACCCCGTCTGGGGGTTGTGTCCATCACCTACAAACCTCCCTGGCAAGGCAGAGGAGGTTTCTAATCCCCCAGGAGCAATGAGGGACAGCACTGCAAAGGGCTGGCTTTGCCAGGCCACACTTCCTCCTTCAGTGGGGCTTGGGATGTTTGCCAGCAGGACTGTGGGACATGAACCCCCACAACAGTGGGGCACTGAACTGTGGCACAAACCCAGACAGTCCCTCCCTGTTCCCACACCTGCAGGAACCCGGGAGGACGTGGGGAACATTTTATAGCAGCAGAACCCAGGACATGAGTCTGCAGAACCTGCAAACAGCACCCAGGGAACAAATGGTTCCACCAATGCTTTCAAGTGTTGCCTAAAACTCATATTTCAGAAATTATACCCCCACAAGTCTAACCCTTCTGAGAGCTGGGAAGCACAGGCAGATTTTTGGTCATGGACTGAAGCTGTTTCCATGGTGGTGATGAAGGAAAGCCTGGCTCTCCACCACCCAGGGAAAGCAGAGCAGCTTTTACACTTGTGGAGTTCAATCCCCCTGCTGCAGTGGGGTTGTTCACACGCACACAGTGAATAAAGAAAGAACCTCTTCCCCTGGAAGAGCCCAAAACACAAGCAGTGGTTTTTACCAGATCCCAGTCGATGCTGCGGAAAAACGTGTGGGACTTGATATCAGCAAATCCTGTCTGGGGCTGACAGCCAAGCCTTTCTTTGGGATCCTGTGGGACACACTCCTGTTACACACACCAAGCCACTGCAGTCCACCCTTCCCAAAGCCCACATGCACAACTCCAGCATTCCCATGACTGTGCAAACTGCTGCTGGGATGAATATAATATCACAGCCAGCAAGGGATTCTCATTCTTTTTTTTTTTTTTTTAAAAATAAAAGTTTCTTGGAAAATTAATTTTTAAATGATACTTTACAAATTCTCAAAATATAAAAGAGATTTATTCAGTAATGCTTAATTCCTGTCCTCTTCTCCATTAATGATAATAGCCCTACAGATTTCAAGCAGCTTAATTAAATGAGCAATAAGTATTACAGAAAAGAGTTTATAAGCAAACCTACAGTTATCTTTTTCCCAACTAAGGGCAGGCTTTTAAATCAAGTCTGTGCTGTGGAATTCCCTCAGTAAATTTGCAAGTAAGAAATGGGGTTTTTAACATGGAGGATACCAGGGTTTTACAGATTTTCTTAATGGTAAGCAGATTAACTTCTTAACTGTATCGCTTTCAACAGGAAGCTCTGACTTCCAGCTCTCAGATGCTAAAAATAAGAGAATGTTATTTACCTTGTTTAAAAATCCTTTTAACACATGGGAAGCCTTGACAGAAAGAAACCTTGGAATCCGGATTGGCTTCTCAAGAATAACTGTTACAGGTTAAAAAACAGCAATATTGTTTTTTGGTCTGTGACACTGACCATGATTTCAATACAAACACTGTTATTATTTCAGTGTGGTACCAGCTGGGAAATGGGAAGGTAATTATTTAAAACAATGCAAACAAAAAGAGCTACAGTAATTCAAGGCACTGTTATACTGACATTTGAAGATTTCCTAAGAGACATGTTAACTTCATTATCTTTTGCTACTGTGTGTAAACAGGAAATAAAACTTTCAGTGTCCTCAGTATATAGGAAAGGGTGTTTTTAAACAGCATTTAATTTAATATGAATTAAACAGCATGCCAGACTATGTTACAGAACTGCAGTAACTGGTGTAAAGAAGGTTTTGCCTGTTAAGGAGCGGGCAGCTTCCCAACTCCCCAATGGAGCAGTGTGGAATAACAATGGGATGGGAAAGCCTCCTGCCCCATTCAAAGTGCCATTTTCCTCCTCCCTCCCCCCAGAACAACCCCCCAGACCCCGAAGGGCTGTACCTTGGAAGAGGTAATCTTCAGTGTTCATGTCGGGATTGTCAGTGATGATGTCGAACGGGGACCGTCCCGCCATCATCTCGAACATCAGCACGCCCAGAGCCCACCAGTCCACGCTGAACCCTGTGCACAAACACACTCTGAACCCTGTGCACAAACACACACTGAACCCTCCACACACACACTGAACCCTCCACACACACACTGAACCCTCCACACACACACTGAACCCTCCACACACACACTGAACCCTGTGCACAAACACACTCTGAACCCTGTGCACAAACACACTCTGAACCCTGTGCACAAACACACTCTGAGCCCTCCACACACACACACCCCCACACACCATCACCTCAAACATCAATCCATGCTGAACCCTGCACACACAAACACCCCATCATCTCAAACATCAGCACGCCCAGAGCCCACCAGTCCACACTGAACCCCTCACACAAACACACTCTGAACCCTGTGCACAAACACACTCTGAACCCTCCACACACACACACACACAGTCTGAGCCAGCTCTCCAAGGGGTGGGAACACTCCCAGGAACCAAGATTAGTGGTGTTAAGGCTCCCAGACCCAAGATTAATGGCCGGGTTTACAGAGTCCTGACACTCTGTGCTTTCACTCCATGCACACTGTCACTGTCACTGGGGGAGTTCGAGTTTGCTGAGCTGGGATTACAAAGGTAACCTGTGGGGGAACCCAGAGGTGCCTGCAGACAACAGTGCTGCAGTGGAAATCCAGGGGATTTAAGCTATGTTCACATTGGTTTTGTATGATTTACAAAGAAGCTGAAGTGAGTGATTGCAAGAAAAAACAACACCTCATTTCAGGAAAAAATTAAGCTGTACAATATGCATTCGATTTTCTCAATGTATAATAGCACAGAAATGTAGAAATCTAAATAGGGTTGTATTTGAAACAAGCCACAACTCCAGTAATGATAAGTTGTGTAGTCAAAACTCACCATATTCTTCTCCTCTGAGGATCTCTGGTGCAATATAATTTGGTGTCCCACAGAAAGTGCTTGTAGTGTCACCAGGGCCCAAACCTTCCTATGTGCAGAAATCATTTCATAAATTAAAAGCTGATCTCCTTTTCTGGGAATTTCCCTTCATTAGATTTAAAAAGCCAAGTTATGAGGGAGTCTAAAGAACCTCCTTGCACAAAATAAATACTCATAGTATCAAAACTGGATATGACTCCACTGCTTATCTGAGCAAAGCAGCTGAGTCACAACATGTATGTAACAACATTTTGCTCACTATTTACAGATACATTTAAAAAGAAAAATCAGTTGAACAGTGTGGAAGTCCTTTTCTAATGGATGTTGGGGAAAAACCCTTCTCTCACATCCAGTTCCAAATGTGGTTCTACTCAACAGTATTTTTTTTTCAGAGTAAACTTCCCATTCCACAGCCAAGTTCTGGGCTCAGTAACACCAGAGTGGAGATAAAGATACATTTTCTTAGTGCTCTCTAAACATCACTGGATGCAGCATCAGAGAGATCTACAGCTGAGGGACAGTGACAGAAACACAGGGAAAACCCCACCTTGCACATGCCATAGTCTGTTAATTTGATGTGACCCTCTGCATCCAAGAGAACATTGTCCAGTTTTAGATCTCTGTAGATGATGCCTCTTTCATGGAGGAAGTTGAGAGCTATACAAATTTCAGCAGCATAAAACCTGAAATTAAAAAGGAGAAAATCCACATTAGCATCAAGGTGGTACAAAAGCTGGTGCAATTTAAATGTCTGTTCTTGGAACATCACTTTACAGTCAACTTTTATCTTTCAACAGCATAACAAAACCAAGCTATGTTTATTCATAAGGACACTGATCTCTTATAACACCATTCCTTAAATTAAATATGATAAATTTTTTTTTTTATTCTAAGTAAGAAAATATTTGCTCTTTATCTTTTATCTTTTGCTGAAAATTCCAAGCATGAGAAGGAAGATCTGTGTTTTCAGCTCACAAAGAGTGACAGTGAGACTTTGTGTAGCACAGGGCAGTGCAAAATGGATTTTTCATCTTCTCCTGCCAACACTATATTAATTCAACATAAGACCAAATTAAGTAGAATAGTTGCACCTTCTATCAACAGATCAAAGAGGCATTACCTAAATATGAAGCAATAAAGAGGAGTAAATAGGAATAACTGCTACTACTTAACTGCTTGCTCTAGTTCAAAAAGCCCTTCAAAAAATAAAATTAACATATTTTCCCAGGGCAGGACGTTCTAAACTTAAGAATCAAGCTTGCATTCTTTTTTTTTTTTTTTAATGGAATACACTTTGTTAAGTATGCAAACATCAAACCACCCCAAGCCAGGCCCTTGGTGTGGGGTAGGAAGTACCTTGCATGTTCTTCAGGAAGCTTCCTCTGGCGTTGCATATGGAACATGAGGTCTCCCCCATTCACATACTCTATGACAAGAAACAATCTGAAAGTATATAACACAATTAATGGATTCCAAGGGAACTCTCCAGCAGACTCCTGAGCACTGCCCTGGCCCCTCCTCAGCAGATTGTCAGGAGCTGTTCCTTGGGAAGCTCAGCTTTCCCCCTGTTCCTGCTCTCCCTCCAGCCCTGCCCCAGCCCTGCCCTGCTTGAGCTGCCCCCCTGTGCTGTGCTGAGCAGTGGATCCCTGGGACAGCTGGTGCTTCCTCCCCACATCCCTGGCTGGGGATGGCAGGAACTTTGCTGGGGGAGGAGCAGTTCAGCACAACGACCACGGGGTGCAAAACAAAAGAATTTTCAGATCTTTCTTACCGACTCGTTGTTTGAAAGCATGAGTGTAAACCAACTAGGAATGGGTTACTGGATGCCTGTTCAAACACATGTTTCTCTGTCTGTACCCAATCAATATCCTGAAATAGAGTAATTGAACAATCAGAACTCCTGCTGGATAACCACTGGGGGTATTCCCAGAACAACACTGAGCATCTGTGCTGCCTCACACACACCAGCACTGTCACACGCTCTTCAGAAAGACAACACCCCCTAAAAACCTGGAGGAAGTTATTAAACATTGGCATTCGGTTACACAGGGAGAAGTTTCTTAACCATTTGAGAAAGTTCTGCACAGAATTGAAGCCCTTACAAATATCAGACATCTGCAGGATTTGATACACTGCTCACTGTGCTGCATGGAAATAAATTCAGTTCTTAGATAACTGATCCCAAAGCTGCTGAAGCAACTCGTGCCAGTGACACAAGCAGTGAGAATCTGCAGTTTTTAGAAGGTTCACATAAACTGAACTTCATCTTCTCATCTGAAATTCAAATTTAATTCAATGAAACTACCAGAACCTGCTCAGTTGGTCCAGCCAAAATCATGAAAAGCATCACAGACACCTTTAATCCTTCAACAGGGTAAGTCCTGAACATCCAGTGCAAAACCACATCATAAAAACCTACCAAAGCCTGAATGTGCTGCAAACTCATATCCCTGATAACAAAGTATTTAAGCACTATTCCATGTAACCACACACAATTGAAGCCTTCCAGGCAGTTTTAGCAGTAGAAGTTCACTCCTCCTGCAATGCACTGCTCATGTGTCACCCTGCCAATACACTAGAAATACAATTATTCTAAAAATCCTCCTGGATACTTTTAGCTCTCCAACCAATGTGGAGACAAATACAGAGAGTGAGAAATCAGGCCTTCCTGGCAGGGATGGACAGAGAAACTGAAGTCTCAAAGGAAACCAAGAAATGTTACTATCAAAGTAAATAAATCTGTTGGGTTTTGTGTTCAGACACTCAAGGAGACACAACCCCTTGGAAGGGTAAAGCTGGATCCAAACAAGAGCCAAACGTCCTACTTTGAATAAGGCAATAAATATGTCCACTTCCTTTTGGGTTTACTGAATGAGCTTCTCTTTAAATTAGCCCCAGTTAGTTAATTAATCAGTGCACTTGTGTACTCATGCATTAGTACTGTACTAGGGCACCACTGTTAACAAAATTCAGCACAGGAAAATTTCACAGCAGAAGCCCAGGTATTTGATTTGCTTCTGTCTCACTTCTCCCCACTATCAACCATTCCCTGGAAAGCACAAGCCAATTTAAACACGCTGATCCTTGCTATGTAATTGATTTTTCTTTCCCCATGAAACACTTACAAGGTGAAATTTCCATTACCTGCAATATCTCACGCGCTCCCAGAATTCAGAGAATTTCCTATCAACCCCCAGAATTTCATTATGCAGACTATCTCAGAGAAGAGAAAAGCCAATTAGCTCAATCTTCTGTGTAATTATGAGAGCCACTATTCAAGAAAGCCTTTTCTCATCTACCTCTGGTTCTCAGAAGCTGCTGCATAACCCAGGGAACAGCACTTCAGCTTCTGCCTTCTTGGAAACACAGGGTGAAAGGAAAGGGTGAGGGAACCACACAGCAGCCTAAGCTTTGTTCAGAAAGGGAAACAGCACAAAGAGCAAGCCAGAGGATTTTAGAAGAACTGATCCCAGCCTCTGGAATAATGGCAAACGTGACAGCCAGAGCAACTACCAACACAAATAGTACTTAAAACAGTGGTTTGGGCTTTTTTCCCCCAGCATCCTTCTTTCAAAAAAGTGTGAATATTACAGGGAAAAGCTGAAGGGTTGTTGAGGGGGTTTTTTTCCCCCCTTTTGAATTTTTCTTTTTCCCCCAAACTTGTGCATTTGAGATCTTGTATTAAAACAATTTTAACCAGACTTTGAAAAGAATTGAGAAATGCAGTGCATTTCTGTGGCAAGCAAAAAAACCAGAGACCTCAAATGGCAGCATCATCATTTCTGAAGTCATGGAAAAAACATCCCAGAGTACTGTGCCTCTTTCACATAAGCTCCACCACCAGGCCTGTAAGAACACACTTCCAGCTCCTTTTCTGACACACAGACAATGCTTTTGCCTTGGAAAACATCTTTGTTTTCTTTCAAAATTAAATGCACAAATTCCCCATTTATCTCGTCACTTACAGATCAGTACGTCCAGGTTGGAATATTTAATACATAATTTCTACTAAAACTATTAATAACTGTTATTAAAATAAGGGACATTTCTCTCAGATTTCCTCCTGCTGCTTCACTCAGACAAGCTGATGACAAATGAGTTCCAAAGGCAGAAAAACTACGACAGAGGAGTCTGACCCACGAGCTGCTTGCTCAGCTGAATGTTTTCTGTTAAAGCATCCCAAGTTTTTATAACATGTAACAGAATGCAGTTAACCCAGAGTTTTACCTCATCGTCATGGACCAGTTCCTTTTTCACCACTTTCATGGCATAGATCTGATCGTTCTTTTTTAAGCGAACCAGCAGAACTTTGGCGTAACTTCCACGGCCGATAACTCGGATTAAATCAAAGTCCTGGAGTCCAAGCCCCTGAGAAATCTTAATTCCATCCATTCCATCAATGACTGGTTTGATATCCTGCATAAAAAGAAACAGATGCTGGAAACAGAAAACATTTCCATAGCAAGTAACTATTAAAGCAGAGAGAACTTTCAGCACGGGGCAGAATCTGCTGAGGTTGCTTGGCCCTGGACACAGGTCTGAATGCTGATTGTAACATTTTTTTTTACAAGTGTTTGGTTTCTGTTGGTTTTGCTCTTACTAACAGTTACTGGTTTTTCAGGGCATTAGTTCATCCAGTGAAGCATTTTCACGTTCCCTCCTGGAAGGCAGAAGGCAATGCCTCGAGAAATGGGCTTTGATTCAAATCCTTGCACCTCAGGCCATGTGGAATTTTCCTTTGTTTCTAAGTGAAGAGCACCCTTCAATCCTGACAGGTACTGCAGTACAAATGAATAAAGACTATCCAAACAAAAGATGGATAAGGGAACACTGATTTGCCAATGAATATACCTGCCTTGGTTTCAGTTTCTGTGTTCAAATCTCTACAGTTTTAATGAAAATAAAGATTCCCAACAGGTGCCTGGGAACATACAGAAGCAGACCTCAATTCCTCAAGTGTGAGAATCTGCAGGAAATATTACACTTTCAGGAACGTTATTTTTAAAAAAAGATAAATTTCCTCATCCTGACTGCTTGCTGGAACTAGTTGTGAAAATGTGGGACTGAAGATGGAGCAGCTGAACCAGCCAAATGCAGCAGGTACCCAGGACATCTCTGGTTTTACCCATCTATCCAAGGCTTTGACACACTTTGGTGGCCTATTTTTATCTGACCTCACACTACTGTACTTGGAGACAGATCAGCATTCTGTGGAACCATGGAAAGTATTTATATAAAGGATCTTGATCTAGGATTGACTGCTATTACAAGAGATTGCTCTAAGCTTAAAGATTCTAGGCAAGGCTCCCAGAATGCCAGTTCCTCTCTGCAGGATACCTGAGATGATTTCAGTGCAGCTCCAAAGCCAATGAGAGCAGCAGAACTCAGGGCAGGTGAGCAAACAGCACCTCTCAACATCTGCACACACCCTGAGCACTGACCATGGCAGCAGTTCAGACTCTCTGATGGGTTATTAATTTATACCCTTCCATCCCTGAATTTGAGATAAACTCTAAAGACACGTGACTGAAAATAAGGCAGTCACCCCAGAGCAGAACTACTCAAGGGAGAAAGGAGTGGTAGTGACAGGCATTGTAGTGGAAGGAAAGGAAAAAGGTGCAGCCTTGCTCAGAGGGGCATATCAGACCCTTTTAAAAGAAATGTCTTAAAGCCCTTTAGAAATGAAGCATACTGGGATTTTTCAGACATTCTTGATGTGCAGAGATCGTGTCAGACCTTCTATAAAAGAGCTGAAAAAAAAAAAAAGAGTTCAAGTGTATGTTTTTCCACTTGTATTTCCACAGGAGCTGCCTATAAATTATTGGGTATTATTTATATGAAACCTCTCAGAGGGCTGGATAGTTAATGTATCATCAGATGAACCAACAGCCTGAGGGTGACAAAGGGTGCACATCCATTAGGGCCAGCACACAAGGCAATGTCAAAGCCACCATTTGTTGCAAGGACCAATAAAGTCAAACCTGCTGCTAAATCACTGTTATTCCAGCACAAATGAAAGGGAGGAAGAAAAAAAAAAAAAAAAGTATCTTGGATCATTACTGGGTTGACAAAAGCTAAATACAGAAATTTGAAAAAATTCAATAAAAATTCAGAAAAAAAAACCACCAGACTTTTTCAAAAGGTAGCAGAAAAACCAGGACAAATAATCAGCTATTTTATGAAAAGCTGAATGATTAAGAGAATGTAAATATGAATTACAAAGCTGTTTTAAAAACATACCTCAGAGTCATCTTTAATGGTGTCATGTTTCCTGTTTGAAGGAATGTAGGGAACTGGAAAAAAAACCAACAAAGTAGTTTTGTTACAAAGGCCTTCCTCAGAAATAATCTTACAGACTGATAAACAGAAAGATGATTTAGTAGCTTAGGCTCAGTTTGCTTTAAATACCACAGGACAGCTGACCAAATGCTTCCACTTTCTTCTTGTAACTGGGGAGAGTGAAAACCGGGCCTCCAAAAGGGGAAAGAGGGATTCCAGGGCAGCAAAGTACTCACTTCCATCAGTGTCTTCTGAAGGGAGATCAACTTCATCGTTTTTCTCACCTATCCGAGGCTCCTGGGAAGGCATGACCGAATCCTTGGGAGCACAGGGACAGGGCAAAGAGAAGCACACTGGTTATGCAGCCCCTGCCAGGTGACCCTGTCTTGCCTTTCAGCTACAGCTCAGTGAGAACCTCCCACCTGCACCTCCCAGGATGAAAACTGGGGTTTGTAGGAAGTGTTTCTGAATCTTAACATCTCTGAATTTTACCATTTTGTAATGCATGATAACACCAGCCTGCCAAACACTTAATGCTCCCATCAGCCATTCTCTGCAACTGCAACAGATGTTTAGCTGTCTTCTAAAAGAAAGAGGGGTCTATTTTACTGCAAATTCAAACTTTTTTCCTATTTCAGACTTGTGAGTCTGCTTCACATAGAACTACAACAAAGTAAACACTTGAGCATGATGTTACAGACTGCATTTAGAGCACTGGCATGTTCCCTTCCTGCTTCATAAAAACATGAATTGTTACTCATTATGCAAGGGCATTGCATAAATTGGTAAAGATCACAGCACCAGATAGTTTTACATTGCATGTGGACACTGGTCTCATTCATGAGACACGTGGGACTATTCCAGGAGGGGCAGCAACAGGCATAAATTATATGGCAAAGAATTAGTAATGCCAAGGCAGGTCACAGGCAATACCACTAAAGAAAAATACTGGTTTAAGTCTTGAGTTAGAAAACCACACAACCACCAGTGAAACACTGGGGGTGAGTATGGGAAAGGGCTAGAATTCAGGGATACAGCTGTTTAAAGCCTAGGGAAGACACCAGCATTGCCACTGGAATACATGAGAACAGAACTGGAGAAACTGAGAGGGCAAGAACAGGAAAGCACCAAGCCCTTTTGCAAAGAGCAGTGCAAAATCCACACCAGTGCCTTGGTTCTTCAAACATTCCCACAGGCTACAAGGACCAACTGCTGAGATTGTCACTGACAACTCTGTCTATCTGTAAAATACCAGATGTCTCGTGGAGAAGTCAAATTCAAGCTTGAGTACACTCGAGTCACATCGTGAGTTTTCTTTCCTCACTTTGTCTCTGCTCTCAACCCAAGGGCTCATCCTCCACAGACATCTGAGAGACTGAAACCCAAACCCTGCCAAGGGTTATAAATCTACAGCATTTAATGACCCAGGACACACACCTACCAGCACAGGTCAGGGTGAACCAAACCACCTCAGCTCTGTACAGGCTGCAAACTCACCATATGCCTTTTGCAGGTCAGTGGGACAAGGATGTGACAACGTTTATGGACCAACAGCTTGCAGTTGATACACTTGTAGCCTTGCCTTCCGAGCCCCCATATCCTTTCACTGCACTGGCCACAGTACGCTCTCTGCAAGGACAGGGAGACCAGCAGCTCCATCAGCAGCTCCAGCACCAATCCCCCTCGGGAGGGCAGGACTCACCCAGCAGCCAGAACCCCTCCCAGGCACCAAGCAGGGGTTCAATAATGGTAATTTCTGAACATCCAGGGGTTCCCCAGTAACTGAAGGTTACACTTCACCCTCAGAGTTCAGCCAAATGCAGCCTTCTCTTAATGGATGTTTTGTCTTTGTCTGATGTCATTTGTATGCAGATATAAAAGCAGTCCTGGGTAGGATTGTGACACTTGAGCATCATAACAAGGTATCAAAATCTCCACATGTATATTCACTACTGGCCTAATTTCAATTAAACCATCATCATCTATAACATTCTGCATTATTAATGTGGCAGGTATGCATTCACACAGTGTTTCAAAGAAATATGTTTGAACTGTGTAGCAAACAAACAGAAGTATATTTTCATACTATAAATTAAAAAAAATGGGTTGCCACAGCACATTATACAAATGCATGTGACAATTCAGATACATGACACAGATTTTTCACTTATCTGGTGATAAGGTACTGAGTTTTAAGGGGCTTTTCTTGCTTTCAGTGCAGTTTTGAGGTGGGGAACATTAAGAAAAAATGCTAATTTTAATTTTTTTAAAAATCACTGCTGGATGAAAGAGTTAACTGTCCTCAGTGCACTCAGTTTTTAGTGGAATTCCCCAAAGTGCACACCACATTTGTATATATGCTGCAATACTCAGGCATAACAGGATAAGTGAAGGAGGTGTCTCAGCCTTAAAGCTACATTCACTTGCTTATGTGGCTCAAGCCAGATTCTCCCTAGGCAGCTGTATTTTAGCTCAATAAACCGGATTTTTAACTCTTGGATGATGCAGCACCCCAGATTCCAAACAGTTAAAGCTCAGATCAAGAGCTGTGACTTTTAAGAATGACAAGAGGTCCTGAAGGTAAAAGATTATGCAGACGAGCAATCAAAGTCATGCAGGGAGAGGAGAGGGGACTGCTGCTCCAAGGATGCACCACTGTGAACAGCCACAAACCCAGTCCTTTCAGAGAGACTTTAAAAATAAATATTTTCCACCGATCCCGCAGGAACTCCATCCCAGATTCAAACCCTTCCGAGTTGACCTGAATAACAGTGCACAGAGAGAACCTTCACACCAAGGGGCGTCTGGGCTGTCCCTCCCTGTCCAACACCCTGCACAGCAGGGTCAGACAATGCCCAGCCCGGGCAGCTCCCCCCCAGTACTCACTCTGTTAAAGCGCTTGGCTTGGAACAAATGCCCATTCACTCGGTACAGCTTCCTCCATCTTCGGGCGCCCCGGCGGTAGATGGATTCTAGGGAAGAGACCAGAAAGGTGTAAAGCAGCAGCATGGCAGCTCAGCAGCACCCACAGCCCGTGCCAAGCAAGTTGTGCCCGAGAACAATCTTGCTTTCCTAAATCTCAACGCACAGCTCTGCTGCCCGGGGACTGGGGGGTGTTAAGGCGGCCGTGAGTGACAGCCCGGGCAGGATGTGCTCTCCCCGCTGCCTCTCCCTTTCCTCCAGCCCTGGCTCCTTTTCCTCACATGATCATAATCCCGTTACAGCTCCGTGGCTGCTCCAGCTCAGGTGAGAGGGACAGAGCTGTTAAAGAAACAGCTTCCTCAGGGAAGTGACGCTGCTGCTCTCACTGTCCCCTTCCCATGGACACACAAAGGATCCTTGGTGCCAATAACGCTCCAGATACACAACATTAAACATGTTACAAAGCTGCAGTTACATTCTTTGACCTCCTTTTTATCTTGCATTAGACACTACCCAAAATATTTCTTCTGTTCGGGCAGTTCAAGTACAGGTCTACAATTATTTTTAATACACTCTAAACATAACAAGGAATCATTTCATCTGTTTAAGCCTGGCTTTTCAAGAGGTCAAACACAACAGTACCCAGCATTTACTCCGAGTTACTTTTGTTGTCACTGTTTACATGCAAACAGGCACGTTTTGTGTGACTGGCTAATTAGAGTTTGATAATTAATATTAAGTGTGGTGCCACATTTGAGCTGGGGACACAACCAATCCCTAACACACAACCTGGAGTGGGAGCTTCCCACAGCAGATCCAGGTGGGCACTGGGGGGGTACAGGGGGCTGTAAAGACTCTGAGAGACTTCATCAATAAACACCCTCACAAAGCATCAAACTGTACATTTATAATCCTCAGAAATTAATGCAATTAACTTTTTGCCTTTAATGTTACTTTCAAGTTTTAAACATCCACACCTTACCCAAGATGAAGCCTTTTTTTAAACAGAAAAAAACCCAGACATTTTTGCTGCCAAATGATAATGCGAGTAGTAAAAAGTTTCTTTGTGGAGAAATTATTCTAAATTATATGGAGCAAGCCAAAACTCCCAGGCTACTGACACACCATGTGTGAACACTGACTGCAATACTGGGGCTGATTTTAGATACTCTATTTTTGTCCTTCCAAAGCAAGACACATAAAAGCATGGAAGTTCCTGTGACTCCACAACTCTGCAGTGCCAAATCCCCAAACATTCATACCTACTCTATTTACATGTGCAAATGTTTACTGTGCAAGCATCTGAAACAGATATTGCACTATTAAATGGATTGGTAACAATTTTTAACTGAAAACATGCCCAAACACAAACACCAGTGAAAAAACCCTTCCAACCATTTGTAGGGTGACTTTTCACCAGGAGGAAAAATCTTCACAAGGGATTTTTTTTTCCAAAATAGTTAATTAATTCATTAGACAAAGCACCATATGGAGGCAACGTAATACATCTGTGATCTGAACATGAGCTTATCACTGACACGAGGAATATTAAGGGAATGATAAGTTAACGAGCAGCTTGTGCTGTAAATAAAGGAGCAAGTCACCTCCCTAATTAATGATAAATATTAAATCAAAGGCAGGATTTTATATCACATACTTGTGAGGTAACAGTCTAACAAAAACTGAGCTTAATATAGAATAGCTTTAGAAAGTAGGAACCTCTACAATTTACCCCATGAGGCAAATCAATCCCCACTTCCCCCCCCCAAAAGGGGTCAAGGTAAGAAAGGAGAAAACTGTGAGCATTTTGAGACACACCTTCACATCCCACATTCTGTTATTATCACACAATAAAACTGAATTTGTACAACAGAACAAAACATTCTTGGTCACTGAGGATACAAAACTGGGACAAGTGGCTGATCCACCACATGGCTGTGCTGCTGGAGAGACCTCAGCCCCTGGAAAACTGAGCAGGCAGGAACCCCAGGAAAGAGGCCACCCTCCCTAGGAATTCCCACAGGGATAGAATAAGGAGTTGGGGGTTTCAATATCAATCAGCCCCAGAAACCCTCACTAGGGCTATACCAGATCTAAGGAACCACCCAGAACAATAACCAGGTTCATAAATGGCAGTACATGTACTCCTTGAATTAAGAACCAACTTGCTGTCGTGTTCTGTGATGTGTGAACAAAGCTCTGATCTCAGTTTGCATCTCACAGGGAAAAGGATACTTCTGAACCCAAACAAAATGCTTTGGAACATGTTTCCAGAACACTTCAGAATAAAACAAACAGGGATTCTTGATAACTAAACCAAGCTTTTATAGCCAGGACTGATCCCAGCCACCTAGACAGAGGAATGCCACCACAAAAGCCTGACTATTTAATTACTGTGCTTAATGAAAAGGGCTACTTTTTAATTTATTTCACAGCACACATCAGTTAACTCATTAAGGAGTTGGAGTTAGCTGCTTGCAGGCTGAAGGAGATATCATACCCCTAATTAAATAATCTTTCCTCTCTGATGAATATTAAACACAAGACTTTTCCTAACAAAAAAAAAAAATAAAAAAAAAATCTTCTGAATCCTCATTTTGTATGTGAAGAGATTTAGAGGAAAAATCAAAATATATTTTAAGCTGTTAACAGGGATAACAAATTTTTATTGGGGTACAGATATATATTCTAATGACAAAGAACACACTAAATTTGGGAAAAAAAAATTTCAAGTGAAGATTACAAGAGAAATAAAAATACCCAAACTTAAAAAGCAATGTGAAACAACTGGCTGTTGCTGCTGTGCAATTCTTCCCTCTGTTGTCAAGCTGTGCAACTACATCACCAGTAGTGATGCACAGGGAACCTCAGGAACACATTTAATATTGGCTTTCCAGTGACATTCCCTAGGCTTGGGGTTCTTTTCACAAAATTTCAAATAAATACTATTTAATTGAGGATATAAATAGATGAGCAATTCATCTGTTGTTCAGTGTGCTCTCCAAATTAACTCATCTACAGAAGATACCCCCCCGATTCCACAGTGACCTCCCCAGAAAGGATGAGACCCTTGCCTTTGGAAATGGAACCTGGAAAAGTGGGGACAAATAGAAGGCAGCACAATTCTTTTCCAAATGACAACATAGTTGGTTCACAGCAACAAATGGCCCCAGAAATGATCCCCTCTGCAGTCCCAGGCTCTGCTTTGCCGTGCTGCAGCTCTAATGAAGCCTGTCCCCATCCTGAGCACAGAGGTAATTTGCTATTGCTGCAAATCATTTCTCAGAGATTAATACAACTTGTTTACAGGCCAATTACCCGCCCTGCCAGCTGGACACTGCCAGAATGCCCAGTTTTTGTTTTGTTCTGTTAATGTTGTGCTGAGCACACAAGTGAGCATTCTTTCAAAAACAACTCCGGAATTACAAGGGGGAAATTGATATTGGTATTTCAGAGAGCCTGGATTTGATAAAGGAATTCCACATAAAGATAGAACCCAGTTTGGGAAGGTAAATTCTGGAGGGTTTGATACCATACTGCTTCTCATAATTTTTTGTTACATAATTTTTTGCAAATAGTTAAACTGAAACAATAAAATTGCTTTCTGAAGAATGTAAAAGACATTCTTGGGATGGGTTAACTGGCCCTTCTTTTTATTATGAATAAACTTCTATGTACAACTGAAGTTAGAAAATGAAGAGTATCCTTAATATACTGACCTCTTGGAGTTACTGCAAACATTAAATGGTCAGAAGACAGCTTCTTTTTTTTTATTTATTTAATTTAAGACTGATTTGCAGCTGGGAAGCCACCTCCCCATCCTCCTTTTCTTACAGACACCAAAATTAACTACAAAGTCAGATCAACCTCTATTAAAAAAGAAGCACAATTAAGACAGCAACGGTGACCAAGGAAGCACAGGACCAACAGCACCAGCAGAGAACCAACGAGGACACAAATCTGTCTCACAGAACAGGAATATTTACCCAGCATTTACTGCAACACTGTGAATGTCCTTCCCCCCTGACTGCCAAGGGGTCAGTGGAGTCCCAGCTGCACTCCTGGAATACCTGTTCCTCCTGGATGCTCACACTCCCATCCTGCTGCTAAAATGGCTCCGTGGCACCGCAAGGTGACAAGTCACGTTACAGACACAATGCCACAAATAAAACAGAGCTAACAGCTCACTTGGAGCAAGGCTCTGACTCAGAACTCGATGACTTAATGGGAGATTTATCAGATGTACTTGAAAATAACAAAGTATTGCAAGTGTTAGGCAAGAAACCCTCAGTGAGTTCAGTCACTGATGTGCCCCAGCAGCGACACTGTCCTGGTTCTGAGCATCTCTGAGCCCGGCAGGGACCACAACCTCTGGGTGTCCTTCCAGCCCCTCCTGCTGCATTTGCAAGGCTGTCCCAAGCACAGCACAAAATGCTGCTCTAGCTGTTGCTCTGATTCAAAAGAACATGTTATGAAAAGGGCCAGGAGACACACTCTGAAGGTGATGAGCATCTTTGTTTAGGGAAGAAAAAAAACTTCCCATTTTCCCTTCTCTCCCTGGACCTTCCCTGCAATTTGACATTCACCCCTTTCCATGACGTGGAGTTGGCTCCTCTGGTTACAAAGTCCCAGTGGTCACGTGCACCCCAAACCCAAACTGGCACTGCAGTGTTAATGAAAGTCCACAGACTTCTTTTGGTGACTGCAGCATTTATTCTCCCAAAATAAAAATCACTTTCATTAAAAGATTTACTACGATGAAAACAGAATTTAATGTTCAGTTAAGATCCTTGAAGAGCTGCATCAAAACATTTAACCAAGCTGAAAGATACTGAACCAGTACTTATTGAAATTATCTAATCCTTTAATCTAACTTAGTACTGGAGTAGATCAAACTGAAGTTCTGAACATTTAAAGTTTTCTGTGGCATCTGCATCCACTTTGTTTTCTTGAAACAAACTTCTGTGTGTTAGTACATACATATAGCAATACTTTCTCTTCTAAATAAAAACCTGGTAACAGAAAGCCTCTGTCTTCTACACACCCTGAA